TATAACAAATTCCCCAAAAAATTAAAAGAACTCTTTTCAAACGTTGTACCTTGTAAATTGGGGGTATTCTTATTTTTTAAAAAAAAAATTGTACTGAATATTAAATAAATTAAATTAAAAATAATTATATCAACGTTGTAACATTAAGCCAATGATACATGTGACAACGAGTGAGGTAGATACAATTACTTTTTTTGAGGATAATTAACGTTGATGATTCACTGGGGGATTTCCAATTCAAAACGATAAACATGCTAACTTATACTCCACACAGAAAGTAAAGATGTGGAGTGTGGATAACAAATGTGGTATGTTAATGGTCTTATTTGAGAACATCGTTTTCGATTCAGGTTACTGTTTTGAATAAAATTTTAATGGTGTAGATTAATTTTGAAAATGTTAACGATAAAGGCTGTCGTCGGATAGTCTTTTTAAAACGCTAACGCTGATCCTAAACTGGGCCAATATCAACTCCTAAAAAGTTATTAAAAATAAATGGTGATAAAATATAAAATATTTTAACAATTAATCAATAAAAATATACAAATAAATAAAAGTCATCATGATTTTTGGATAATAAAAAATATTATTTATTGTGAGACGGAAGAATTACTTTTTGTACGACAAATTATACCGTAGAACTAAGGCTCATGCTTGTTTTATGGACTTTAGTATATTTGCAGCATAAAAGGATTGGGCCTTTGACAAAATAAAAAATATCCACGTGAAAGTCATGTAAAATGTGAGGAGATCCACATTTTAAATGTGGACCTTAACCGTGAAAACATCACTCTTTTTATACTCCATCCATTCCAAAAAGAATATCACCTATACTATTTCGCTCTCTCGTTAATGTTTCTTTGTTTACTTATTTTGGTTGACTAATTTAATAAAATAAAATATTGTTGATGCATCTTATTTTGTAAAATTTTTGATAGGTGTAATTTTTATTTTTGATTTTTATACTAATTTATAAATAAAATGATTTTGAAAAAAAATATTTTGTACATTCTTTGAAATATTGCATACAATTTGATACGGAGGGAGTATTAAAAAATCTTTTACAATATAAAATTAAAGTTAATTGTTTAAAAAAATTGGATTTGTCTTACATAAAGTTTAATGAAAAAGTAAAGATATGCAAGAATCACAAATAGACACTGCACAATAATTACAAACTTAACATATTCAAAAGTAAAATGTGAGCCTAAAACTATAACAATCTCTAATCTGAGAAGAACTAGCGAGTAAATAATTTCATTTTGTGGCATATAGAAAAGGTCATATTTTGTGGCGGAAAAATAAATGGAGATGCGGGGGATCGAACCCCGTGCCTCTCGCATGCGAAGCGAGCGCTCTACCATCTGAGCTACATCCCCTTGCGTTGAAGACAACGGAAAAACAATAAACATAGTTTTAAAACAGATAGGTACGCTAAAAAAGTTTACCTATCGGAGCCAGGTTTCGATCCTGGGACCTGTGGGTTATGGGCCCACCACGCTTCCGCTGCGCCACTCCGATTTTTGTTTAATAGCAGTAGTTTTAACAATATATAAAATACTCATTGCATTCGTGGAAAGTATCCATAAATTGAACTGATAAGGTTTTATTTGAAACATCCAAAAATTTAAATTTTTAGATAAAATTATTTCGTAGCATATTTGGTAGAATCTTGTTGTTAATTACTTAAACACGAAGATGATTAGAATATATCATAAGCACTTACAATACTTGATGTGTCATAATGAGCTACACCATCGACAAAGAAGGTGGTTGGAACTTATTAAATTAAAGGCTAGTACTGCCCTATCGTTATCATCATGGTAAGGTGAATTTCGTAACTAATGACCGTAGTCGGAAGACTTTAGCCTAGCTTTAAACTCAACCTACTCTAGATGAGGAGATCATTGTAGCACATTGATATGATACTTACTAGATATCTAACCCGTGCGTTGCACGGAGCATAGTTTGGGATAGTGTATGGTAATAGTATATTTAAAGGTGCCTACATTAAATGTTGATTGGACTTTATTTGTGGTGTGTGGCCCCATAAAGGTGCCTTTCTAGACTGCTGCACTAATAGGTCTCGTGGCTCCATAAGCGGACTTTTTGCTTTTACAATACCCAATGTGAAATTGCACATTGTCCAATGCAATTTAATTAAGATGTGATATTTTCAATAAAGTAATCCAATATCCAAGAAAAGATATTGGGTAAAGTACCTTTCAATTAATGCATGTAATTACTTTTTTCACTTACCAATAAAGAGAACTTTACTTTATGTGATTTGTCTTTTCGAATGCCACTAACCATCATTTCGGATTTCCCATGCTCACGATTACCCATGTGGGTTAGCCATAATTTCGTACACTCCTATAGGCGTAAACATTTTGGCGGGAAAATGTACTATTCATTTTCTCCCATTTGCTTTGTATATTAGTAGATGTCTCAAGACTTGTGAGATTGTCTGAAATGGGGATAGATCGAACTTCTTTGTAAGAGACTATGGTGTTTTACTATATCAGAATCGATTGGTAGTACCATTGGTGATGTGAGATCTTGCTTATCGCGTGAAGCTCCCGAAATTGTGTATATCATGTACCCTGGCAGTAATAAATTATTTCAGGACCTAAGAAAGACATACAAGTAGAAAACCATGAAAAGGAAAATCACAAAATACATAGCTAAGTGTTTAACTTGTTCCCACTAGACTTCTACATTAAATCACTATTCTAGAGTGAAATGAGATATCATCACGAGGGACTTATTGATCGAGTTAACGTTATTGTCGAAGAATAACGACACAATTTGGGTAGTTATCTGTGACAACGGTCGACCGACATGCGACGAAGATCTATCTCGATCCTTCTAGCAGATATTCTTACAAAACAACTTTTTCCGGCTCCATTTAATTACTTTTTTTTGGGAAATTCAAAAAATAGAATTAAGAATAAAAAAGAAATAAATTTAAAAAAAAGGAAAAAGAAATGAAAAAAATAAAACAGATAAAATACTTTTGAAAAATGTGAACATTGCAATTGATTGCGTTAATAAAAATCTTTTTCTAGGCGTTTAATTTTTTTTAGAAATGCGATGTTAAAATGATTAATTCTTTTAATTTTAAAAACAAAAAGAGAACTTTCAATTCTTGGAATATGTTGGGCTTGTTGGCCACTGGCCCCAAAAAATCATTTTTTCTTAACCCATCAAATTTTAAAGATGCTCTTTTTTGACGTCTCGAAAAAGAATATTTTAGTGCACTTCGTTATTATATTTTTCATTTTCATTAAACGTATTTGTTGCATGTTTTCATCTTCTTTCATTTCCTTTTTTATTGTTTTTATTTTATATCTTTTTTCTATTCTCATTTTTTGAAGTTTCCCAAAAAAAGTCTATTTTTTACTTTGGAAAGATTTTATTTGTTTGAGACTGATACTGTATATGTTAACTTTTTTCCATTTCATTTATTATTTATTTCATATGAAAATATTTTGAATTTTTGACACATTATGGAAAAATTTAAAAAAATTCTATAGAGAAAACAAAGAGAGAAAAAGAAAAACAATTAAATAATAAATGAGAAGAAGCTGAGCTCTTGGAGTCATTGAGGGTGTTTGGAAGTGATTAACTTATGTATAGAGTGATTTCAACAAAAGCTGAAAGTAGAAGCATCGGTGTTTTATGTACAAAATAGTGGTGGTGAAAAGCAGAAGCTGACATGCCAAACAATCACTTCTACTCAAAGCAGAAGCTAAATGATTAAAAACAACACACTACCAAACACCCTTATTAGACCCTACTATAGACTTCAGTGTTTTGGAATCAAATTTCATGATTTTTTCAACGAGATATTGAATTGTCATCCAAAAAATATTAAATAACGTAAACAGTGGAGATGCGGGGGATCGAACCCCGTGCCTCTCGCATGCAAAGCGAGCGCTCTACCATTTGAGCTACATCCCCACCTTGATTAGGCTTTTCAACTAAAGGTGTATATATACGCATCCGGTTACGGCAAGATGAAAATCATAAAATGACGTGTGGAACATGTTCTACTACCTCCATTCCACAAAATATTTTTGTTTTTGACTTTTAAATAATTTAAACTAAGTATATTTCAATATTGACTTTCTACAAATACCTTTAAATGTGATTGGAAAAAATATAATGTTGTGTGTGGATTAATTATGAAAAAAGTGATGTGATAAATAGATTAAAAATTAGTAGGGTTTAAAAGTGATTTTTTATTAGAAATGTGAAAGAGTTTTTTGGGACAAATGAAGTAGAACTTAAGTTGTACACGTAATTCTTTTCTGTTCGAAAAATTATTTTACTAACTTTTTTCTAGTTTATCTTGATTAGTATTCTTGCATATTTATTTGAGTGGTCGTTTAATTGATTGATTTTTTGAAACTTTAATTTAGCTTTTCCAAAGTTCAACTCTTTTCAGTTTGGTTTCAACTCTTTTAGTATTCTTCTAACTTTTTTAATTTTTTTCTAATTCTTCTAGTTTTTTAACATCTAAATTTAGAATTTCAACCGAAAAGAAGAGAATCTTTTTATAAATAGAAAAGATACATTTGCATTTGATCTTAATGAGATGCTTTTAAAATAAATAATGAGTGTCTTTATAAAATTAAAATTGAGCCCACTTAGATACAAAATTCATTCCCCAATTCAGTTTGTTGGGGCCTAATAGTTCCACTAATGTACTTTTCCAAACATGGACTAACACAAATATATTAGGGTTGGGAAAAAAAGTTAAATGTTAGTATAAACTGGAAAAATTAGAAGAATTAAAAGAAACTGAAAAATATTTTCGAATTAAACAATGAAAAATGCGATGAGAAAAACTAGAGGGGTAATGGGCCGTGTAGATTTTTTCATGTTTTGACAATTTTCTATAGTCTGGTCCGATTGTTGGGTTAAGGCCTTATGGGCCGGGCGCATTGAAGATCATCTCTATCGCCTCCGAGTGCCTGTCACCCGGTGCTGGAGACAAAAAGAAAAACAGAAATCTCAGATGCAGAGCGAGCAGATGTATTCAATCCCCGGATCTCGAAAAGGAATGAATCCGATCTTCTCATTTTTGTGTTTATATCTTTGTGTAAGAGGTCGACACTCGTTTTGTTCGAACTTTTCTGCCCTATTTTGTCACAGATCCATCCACAAGATCCTTCAGAGTAAGTTGAATAGTTGATCATCAGTTAGATGCTTTTCCTTTTGTGTGTTTGATTTGTAAAGATTGTGTTGCAAATGAATTTAGGGTTTAGAATGTTTAATTTGAGGTCCTGAGATTTTTGGGTTATGTGTATCTGTTGCTGATTAATTGCTTTGATGTCATCTGTTTGCATTCTTATGAACAGATCTCTGTGATAAAATTTCTTTACCATTACATTTTGCATAAATTCTCAATGTTTCTTTCTATTGTATAATATAGCCTTAGTCTGAAAATGGAAAGCTTAGGGAGAGTGTTATGCTTTGCTTAATGAAGAAGAGTAAGAAAGTATCTAGCATGATGATTCATGAAGACGTGAAGAAGATTGAACAAGCGTTTATGTAACTTTTTTTTTCCGTTAGACGGTACTGAAAAACTAAATGTGGTGGTGTTATACAGAATGAAGTTTATACAAGTTTTTGGGCATCAAGTAGCTATAAGTATAGATTTTTGATTGGTTTTTTTGGCATTTACTAAAACTCTGATTCAAAACATGCAGGATGAAATCTGCGTGAATCCTGATCTTCTCAGACAAGGATGTTGAGGCCAGTTTTGCGAGGCAGTAACTGCATCTGCTTAATTCTTCATGTATCATCAGTAAGTTTTGTCTATATATAATGCTTATTGCATAGATCCTTCTTTAAATGTGTTCATATTTCATTCCAATTTAAAACAGTCATTGGTATAGGTCTAAATCCGGCAATTCGATCAATATTACTAGTATAAATATAAAAGACTGAATGTGTTTGATCTTTATGAGAACCTGATCTGCTAAGATCTTATATCCCGTGTATTAAGTAATGTGTCACTCTTTACAAAAATTGAGTCCGTTTAGATCGTCATTTATCTATTCACATCGCATACTATACTCCGATCTGTATAAATTAATTCCCCAGTCCAGTTGGGGGCTTTTATCTAAATTTGGTGATTTGATCAACATAGGTATTTTGAGTTAGTCCTTGTTTGGAAACACTAGTGGAGCCTCAAATGAATGAAAAAGAACTTACTATCTTCTTTTATCAGTGCGAAGAAGAGTGAGTATCTTACAAGGGTCCTCTAATATCTTTTATCTCTCTTTTTAAGATTCATGCCACATAAAGTCAACAACAACAACAACAACAACAACCCAGTTAAATCCACAAGAGTAGGGTCTGGGGAGAGTGTGTGTACGCAGACCTTGCCCCTACTCGAAAGTAGAGAGGCTGTTTCCAAAGAGACCCCCGGCTCAACGTCGAAAGTTGCATTGCTTGACTAACTGCTACTTCATTAATTAAAGAAGCGCAGACAGTTTAGATATCCATTTTGATTTATTCCATCACACCCCAAAGCCAAAAAATGGTCGGTGAAATTTTGATTTATTCCATCACACCTCATCATCTTCTATTGAAATTGCAACTCGCTCCGTATCTGCACCAATCTTGCTCCAATCTTGCACGAAACACAGGAAATAACGTAGTTCTTTATTCTTCTTTATCTTAATTAAATCCCTAATCCTGCTTTTAATTAATTTAAAACATGCAGGTCGTATAGTATACCTCTGGTATAATTGATGACAACACTCTTCATCTGCTGCAAATATGAAAATGAACAACAAAAAATAGTGTAACGTCTGCCGTTAAAAATGAAGAAAGACCACAAAACAAAAGTTGATGTCTGCCGGAAAAAATTTGTAACGTCTGCCGGGAAAGCAAAAAGGAGCGGGAAAAAGGTGTAACGGCTGCCGTAAAGAAATGAAAAAGAGAAGCAAAAAGGTGTAACGGCCGCCGCAAAGAAATGAAAAAGAGAAGCAAAAAGGTGTAAAGGTTGCCGTAAAAAAAAAAAAGAAAAAGAGTGCCAAAAAGGTGTAACGGGCGGCGGGAAGAAATGATAAAGAAGAAAAAAAGTTCACCGTAAAAGTGTTACGTTTTCAACCCAACAAACAAACAAGGAAGAGTGGGGCTAGGCGCGATGGGTCAGATCCGGCCGTTTTCTCGTCATCCACTGGTTTTTTAGGAGGAAAATGTTAGTGGTAATTAAAGGTGTATTCAAATATGAAATATTTCCATCTCTTCCATAATCACAAAAATTTGCATTTAAAATTCAAAAAAAATAAATAAGTAAAAAACCAAAATGTTGTGCAGGATGGATCGAAACACGTGCATCGCTGCTTATTATTTCATCTGTCTTACTTTAAATTGCTTATTTCGATTTATGATTTTTGATCGCAGTAAGATTAAAAAAATAAACATTACATATAAAAAACTACATAAAAAATTCTACGCAACATGATGTGATATGATTATATTATTTTATTAAATGAGTAACGAAAATATGGAAATAAAATAAATAAAATTTAACATAGTGAATAATAAACAAGCAATTTAATATGGAAAATAATTTAATGATGATTTAAATTAACCATCCGGGCAAACTGTACTAGACCGAGTTTATTAGGATAGTTCGTTGGGTTCAGAGAATGAAAGGGTGCAGAAAACAAGGATTGACCATCCGGGGAGATTGTAGGTTGAAACATCTGTGGTCTAATTGTTATTAAGCATGTAGAAGAATACTAAGAGGTATTACACAATATGCTCTAGAGAGATAAAGTACGATCCCTTCATTTGAGGATTACATAGGTATTAATAATGAAATTGAGGGGACAGAGCGCCGCATGTCCACATAAGCCCACACTCTCGAAGGCGAGAGGTGACTTTCTCTTTTCCCGTAGCGTTTTGTCTCATTTCCTTGTCATCTTGTGCTGATGACACCTTCCTCTTGGCTACTCGGTAGTCTAGCTTGAGGTGTTGTTGTTCAAATATTTATTTCACAGGAATACATTTGCAAACGATCAACTCGTTAGATTCAAAATGACTTGATCGTCTAATTGAGAAAGAGTCTCACATTGGAACGTGAAAAAAACAAATCGGTTTATACGCTCTCGATTTGAGCCAAGTAATCGATTTAGTTCGTTAATATGATTCAACGCAAGTATCTTATGACACAACCCAATCACTAGACTCAATCCTAAATTTCATCAATTTAAAAAAAGAAATACTCCCTCCTTCCGTCGAGCGTCGTACACCATTTTTTTCACTTGTACAAATAAAACTCAGCTCTGTCATTTAGCCACCCTCACACGTCTCACCTTCTCTATAAATGCAGCCCCACTCATACAGTGCTTCTTCACCCCAACCCTAAAGCTCACTCCACATCCCACTCATACAGTGCTTCTTCACCCCCAACAAAACCAACAATAATGTCACATAGAGACGTGTACACCATGGAAGAGTTCCTTGAAGTCCTCTCCCTTCAGGAACAGACCGTCTTCCTCGAGATCAAGCGCAAGCAGCGCGCCGCAGCTGCTGGTGCCGCAGGCTCCAGCGTGTGTTCCCAGGAGGACATGCTGGAGATGATGGCCCTCCAGCAGAAGAAGGCCGCCTTCGAGAAGAAGTGGCGGGAGGCGATAGCCAACCCCAATGTCCGCCGCCCCACTGTGATGGAGCTCTTTGGGGGGCTTCATTACTCTGAACCTCTTCCTCCCTCTCCTCCTCCCCCGTTGATCACGATGACCGTGCTCATCCCACCTCTCCCCCTCCGGCGACCTTCTCCCCCGGAGAGAGTTCCGGCTCCCTCTCTAGAGAAGTGCGTGGCTCTGGGGAGGAGAGGAGGGACCCAAGTCATGCTGGCCCTCGTTCCGTTGGAAGTAAAATTAATTTAATTTATTCACATTTCTTTTTCCTAGCTTGCTTCTTTCTCTCTTTACGTTATCTTTTTTTGTTTTGTCCCTTGTGTTAATTATTTATTTCTCTATTTTTTAAAATAAAGTACGAAATATGTCCTCGGACAACTTGTTTCTTTTACAATTCACATCCCCCGTTTTACATTTTAAAATTTTAATGATTTTTTTAAAACTATGTGAAATTGTGAAAACCTATTTCTTCATAACAAATTTAAACTTCGCATGATCAAAGTATTGTATTGACAACCATAAATTTCAAATGAGGAGATTAAATCTGAACATAATTGGAGAAAAAATATGTTATGTAGTGAAAATATTTTTTTTTTTTGTTTTTTGGTATAGGGAACGTGGGAGGGGGTGACAACAGCAGAGCTTGAAGAAGGGAGAGGGGAGCTAAGGTGGCATCATCAGATGGACGGATGGATTGTGTGGACTTGATAATTAATTAAATATGTATTGTCTTTAATTAATTATTTTCTTAATTTAGTAATGCTTTTATATTAAATATAAATACTATAATGTGTAATAAGAACATTGAATGGAATGAATTGTGAAAAAGTTTAATTAAACTCTTTCCTTTTATGACTTGATTTATGATTTATAGTTATCGAGAAGCCCTTAAAGATAGAATCCGACGCTAGACATACCAAAATGGTATGGTTTGCAAAGTGCAGTACAGTCAAAATGGTGTATCTCTAGCACTAATCAAACAAAAAAGGTGTAACGTGTGGTGATTTGATACCAAAATGATTTTTTGGGGAATTTTTTTTCTATTAAACAATGAAAAATGTGGTGAGAAAAAAAAATCTCAAGAAAATATATTCACTCAAACCAAATGAAGCCTTAATAATGTAAATATATCAAATTACGATGATACACTTACAGTCAAATTTGGTTAATCTTTGATTTTGTTCTGTGCAAGTTACGTGCAACATCCGTGGGCAGCTATTGTTTTAATTAGTATCAACATTTCACTTAACTTTATAAATGTTACTGGTATAAATTAACGGTAAAAAAATGAACTCGACCAAAATATTGTCATCGAATAAATTGACAATCTACTCTGTATTAATTAAAATTCAATACTAAATACAACAGTCTAAGGGTACATACAAACTTGATGATGCCAGTTAGTTGGCGCCTTTCACAATGCTAACCGTTAGTGCCAATTTTTTCCTTTCTTTCTTTTTTTTCTTTCACTCTTTTTTATTTAAAAACAAACAAGGGGCAAAATGTTTTTCATATTTTACGCTTACGTCGCGTTCTTCCTCACATTTTATTCGATTTTCTCTCGATGTTACATTTTCTTTTTAATCCCTCTAGTGGCAAATAGAGACACATTATAACCGCGCATGAGCAGTTCAACTGGTCTCGAAAGATGAAATTTGGAACAAAAGACACACTATAACGTTGAATGAACTCACAGAACACGTGGCAAATTCCTCCTCCCATTTTTCCTATCATTTTTACGGTGTAATTGGTTAGAAGTTGTTAGAATATATAAAAATCATTCCCGGATAACAACTATAAGCTTGAGTTTTTGGTTGAATTCATTCTTTAATTGACATGGTATCAAAACTCACCACCACCAATTTAAAAAAAATTAATGCTTCACGTGCAAAGCTCAAAGAAGTCGCGCTTGCACGTGAGGGGCGTGTTAGAGTATATAAAAATTTTTCCTGTGCCACAACCACAAACTTAATCTTTTGGGTTAGAACAGTGGATCCCGACTTTAAATGCAAGTAATTAATTTTTACCTAACATTCTACCCGTTGTTGACTAAGAGGTCACATGTTCAAAACTCAGTACCACCCAGTTTAAAAAAATTAAGGTTTCATGTGCAATGCTCAAAAGAGTCACACTTGCACGTGAGGGGTGTTAGAATACATAAAAATCATAATACCTTCAATTCGTTCCAAAATGTTCACCACACACTACGCGAAACGAAGTAAAATTTCAATTCATTTTAATTTATTTAAAAATTGTATAAATATAATAAGTAAAATTTACGTATTTAAAAAAGCTAAAATCCATGATTGGTCCATCAACTTCATAAGTTGTGCATGATTGGTTCTTCAAGTTTCAAAATTCCAAAAATAGTCTTTCAAGTATTCATAACTCTCCACATGTTGTCCTTCAAGTTTCAAAACTCTATAACTAGTTCTTCAAGTATTAATCAAACCTGCAAATACGATCCTTTTTACGGTATACGTTAAAAGATAAAACAGATTACTACTTCCATATATACAATACGAAGTACTTGTACTTATATGTAGGTGGTTGTTTTTTTAGATATAGGGAATCATTGGGTTTTCACAATTCCAATCAAAGTTTTATGTTCTTTACTATGCAAATTGAACCCCTTTGAAAGTAAAGTTATCCCCAGCATTTACAATGAGAGGAAAAGACCCGGTGCGTTGCGCTGCTCGGAGGACGGGGCCAGCGCCAGACACCCATTGCAGGTCGGAAGTTGCATTTGGCAATGAGGCGGAAGTTATATATATGGACCTAGTTGCATGTAGGTCAGAAGTTATTATATACTACATCCGTCTCACTCTCTTTGTCCACTTTTGACTTTTGGAACTGTTCATCTAATCACTTTGACTCATCAAATTCTCTCATTGTGTAAGTCTAAATATAGTTATGCGTGATCTTGTTTGATTTGTCTTAACATATAGATTATTAATATATAATTTTTATAATTTTTTAATATACAAATTACAAGATAAAAAGGATTAAAGAAGTGCATTGGATGGTGTGCCAAAAGGTAAGTGGACAAAGAGAGTGGGATGAAGGGAGTATATAGAGTTAGTACTTCATTTAGCTTTTAACGTGTACTGTAAAAATGACTGAATTTGTAAGATTGATTAATAGTTGAAAGACTACTTATATGGACTTTTGAAATTTGAAGGATTTGGATTTGGATGCAATGGTGTTGAATACTTGAATAACTGTTTACGAACTAAGACCAATCGTGGACAGCACACAAAGTTAAAAGACCAATGGTGGATTTTATTCATTTAAAAACTACGCAAAATAGTTTTTTTAAACAAGAGATAACAAAAATACTTTATTTAATCAAATAATCACGAAAGACGTATTTATATAAATAAAGATTGTCGTGTTTTTTGGGAAGGAGGGAGTTGTTCGGTGCACAAGTTAAGTTGCACTACACTAGTGTGCTCTTCATATTTTTCTTCATCCAATCACAACGAACCCTCTAAATTTGTCAATGTTTCTATTGTATGTTAGCCTTAGGTTGAAAACGGAAAGTTTAGGAAGAGTGTTATGCTTTGATCGCATTATCAAATAGATGGATGGTGCCTGCGTGTGGACTGATAATTAAATACTATGAATTGTCTTTAATTAAGTGTTTACTTTATTTAGTAATGTTTTTATTAATTAAATATAAATATCATAATGTGTAACAACAATGTATGGACGACATGAATCGTGAACAAGTTTAATAATTAAGCTATTTCCTTTTCTGACTTGATTTATGATCTATATATAGTGAATATTGGTTCATGTGTTGGGTCGGGTTGGTTCGGAAATCGATCCCAACATTGTTTTAAAGGAGGGCTTGAATGTAAAATATACGTAGTATGAACAAGCAAAAATCAAGAAAAGTGTAACGTGTGGCGATTTTATAGAAAAATATATCAAATTACGATGATAATCTCACAATCAAATTATGTTACCCTTTGATCGCAACTTGCTCCGTATCCGCACCAATCTTGCACGAAATTAAACACGCACAGAGGAAATGATAAAACTCAGCTCTGTCATTTACTCCCTCCGTTCCTTTAAACTCTTCCACTTTTGTCTTTGGACAAAAATAAGGAAAGTGTAATTTTGGTTGACTTTCCAATTTTGCCCCTGATGTGATGGGTAAAGTCAAAAATGAAAGAGTTTAAAGGAACGGAGGGAGTACTTAAACTTTTTTATTCTCCTGGTCGTCCAAGCGCTAGGCCACCATAAGTGCTAGGTCACGTCTCCGACTCATGGTCCGACACCGGTTACGGCAGCGTCTCTGAAGCACCTAGGCTTTGGAAGAGGAACTCGAAGTTGTCGGTGATGCTGCACGGTGGGAACAGAAGACGCTGTTGTAGTCGCGGCAGATGGATAGTAGGTTAGGTCATATCGTGGTCGTGTGGTTTGTGCACCTCCAGCTGTATCATTTTGTCCGCGACAAAGTCGCACTCGGTCCTTCATGTACCCTCCTCTTCCTAGTATGTTGACATCTTCACCAAAGGACTGCCGTCCCTGCTCTTCCTCGAGTTCAAATCCAGTATGGGAATCAGGCCTCCTCCACATCCGACGTAGCCGGGAGCATGCTTAATATATTAATTATATTTATTATTCTTGTAATTATTATGTTATCATAGTTGTATATATTTCCTATTATGTCTCTCCTACCATGATTAGGATTGAGACATCTAGTATATATTGATGTATTCTCTACACAATTATTCAATAAAAATATTCTTTCTACTGTTGGTGTCAAGATGGAATATACTATTTGGCATACCCTTAACACAACTTATTTAGGAAAAAGAATTACAACCATAAAGTTAGGAGTACACCAAAATGGTGTATCTCATTTGTACACAAGGCATACATATACACCTCGTGTCTGTGGATCTTAGACACGAAGTGTCTGAATTTGGCTTGTATCAAATGAGGTACACCGTTTTAGTGTACTCTTAGCATGATCTCGAAATACAATACACATCTTCCAAATTTTTTTCCAGTTTCTTTTAATTTTTTTAACGCCGTCTAACATCCAATTCTATTTCATCAATTAAATAGAACAAAATCCAAATAAATAAAAGAAGAAATTGAAGTGTATTATAAGAATTTTAGGGGGGTGTATTCAATTGGGAGTCTGCAGGATTTTTTTGGACTTTCAAAATTTGGAGGTATTCAATCTAGATTTCCAAAAATCTTAAAAAATTTTGAGGTATTCAATAAAGATTTTAAAAAGTCTTAAAATTTTTTTAGGTATTCAACAATCAATGATTTTTAATACTCCATAGATTTTGCTGGATTGTCTCCCAAAATAATGCTTATCTCAAATCCCTTCTAAGGACATGAGATTTCCATAGATTTTGCAGCGGGGAGCCTGGAATTGTGAGAATACCTTGCTTCTTCTCATCCCCTGCTTGAAGACGCTTTCCTCCTAACCCTTCTCCTCCCGTGCTCCATCATCTTCTCCTCTTCTCCTCATCCCCCCATGCCGCCGCCTCCACTCCTCCGACGAGCACCACCGGCGGCGGGACATTGTATGGGCATTTTGACCTCCACGAGTTTTTCGGGCGCTCAGAGCCGACGGAGAGGTTCCTGAGGAAGAAGGAGAGGGCCCACTTGGGGTGGATGAGGGGCTTGGGGTAGAGGAGTGGCGGGTAGTGCCAGGTGAGGTAGCAGGGGACTTGGGCGTCGATGAAGTACTGTGAGTGGAGCGGCGGCGGTGACGGCGCGGGGCTGGTTATGATGTGGGTTAGGGCATGGAGTTTTTGCTCCTAATTCATGTCCTCCATTAATGGCTTCTTGTTTCTTTCTTCTTCCTCCGTCTTCTCAAATTTTGCAGCTGCCATGGCCGGATTGGAGTCTTTGCTGGCATGGAGTCTTTGCTCCCAATCTATATGCCGGATTGCTAGAAGGGAATGCACCTCAAAATTTCCAATAGAAATCCATGGACTCTATGAAATCTATCTCAAATCAATAGAAAAGTTGGACAAACTCTACATGAAATCTATTGACTTTCTAAATTCACTAACTTTTTAGAATCTAAAAAAATCCAATACAATCTCAATTGAATACACCTCTTTAAAAAACAAAAATCTAAAATACTCCGTTTACAAAATGTCAAGTTAGTAGTAAGAAAGAACGAAAAAAAGAAGAATCTCAACGGCCCATCTTTTTTTAAAATAAGCACAAAACTAGGAACCATGCATGGGCCAAGGGGCGGGTAGGTATTTTCAAGTGTGGACGGAATTAGACTAATCCAATTGTTTGTTTTCGGCCCTATGGGCCGGGGCGTAATAACTTACTTCTCGCTAGTATTTCGCCAGAAAACGAGTCCAAAGCTTAATCTCCCAGATCTGAAGAAGGAAGTAACGTATTCGATCATCGACAAGATCTTCAGAGTAAGTTGATTATTTATCCTCTCGATTCGTGATTATTATCAGTTAGATTCTTTTCCTTTTGTGTGTTTGATTTGTAAAGATTGTGTTGCAAATGAATTTAGGGTTTAGAATGTTTAATTTGAGGTACTGAGAATTTTGGGTTATGTGTATCTATTTCTGATTGGTTCGATGTTATCTGTTTGTATTCTCATGAACAGATCTCTGTGATAAGATTTCTTTACCATTTCATTTTGCATAAATTTTGTGAAATTTGTCAATGTTTCTATAGGATAATCGCCTTAGTCTCAAAATGGAAAGTTTGGGAAGAGTGTTATGCTTTGCTTAATGAAGAAGAGTAAGAAATTATCAAGCATCATGATTCATGAAGATGTGAAGAAGATTGAATAGTTATTATACAAGTGTTTGTGTCACTTTTTTTTCCATTAGACGGTACCGAAAAAACTAAATGTTGTTGTGCTATAGAGAATGAAGTTTATACAAGTTTTTGGGCATCAAGTAGCTATAAGTATAGATTATTTTTTTTGCATTTACTAAAACTCTGATTCAAAACATGCAGGATTAAATCTGCGTGAATCCTGATCTTCTCAGACAAGGATGTTGAGGCCAGTTTTACAAGGCAGTAACTGCATCTGCTTAATTCTTCATGTATGATCAGTAAGTGTTGTCTATACAGAATGCTTATTGCATAGATCCTTCCTTAAATGTGTTCATATTTCATTCCAGATTTAAAACTGTCATTGGTATTGGTCTAAAACCGGAAATTCGATCAATTCTACTAGTATAAATGTAAAAGACTGAATCTGTTTGATCTTTATGAGAACCAGATCTGCTAAGATCTTATATCCCGTAAATTAAGTAATAATGTGCCACTCTTTATAAAAATTGAGTCCGCTTAGATCGTCATTTATCTATTCACATCCACATGCTATACTCCGATCCACATAAATTAATTCCCCAGAACAGTTGGGGAATTTGATTTGATGAACATAGGTATTTTGAGTTAGTCCTTGTTTGGAAATTAAACTCTAGTGGAGCCTCAAATGAATGAAAAAGAACATGAAATTAAACTTACTTTCTTCATACCAGTGTGGAGAAGAGTATCTTACAAGAGTCCAATAATATCTTTTATCTTTCTTTTTAAGATTCATGCAACATAAAGCCATCATCTTCTATTGAAATCGCAACTTGCTCCGTATCCGCACCAACCTTGCTCCAATGTTGTTCAGTGCACACCATGACACCAAGTTTAATTATTGTGAAATTTACACCAAATAGGAGTAAAACATAAATCTTTTCTTAATGTAGTACTCCCTCCGTTCCATAAAACCCTTCCCTTTTCGTTTTTTTGAATTGCCTAAAACACTTCTACTTTCTATTAAAAAACCACTTTTACCCTTACTTTTTTATACCCTACCTATCACATTATACTTTTTCACTAATAACCAAACTATCACATCAGGTGCAAAATTGGAAAGTTAACTAAAATTACATTTCCTTATTTTTGTCCAAAGTCAAAAATGAAAGAGTTTAAAGGAACGGAGGGAGTACTTAAACTTTTTTATTCCCTGAATAATACTTAATAATGTCTAGTGGGAGGAATAATGTCTAGTGATGGTGAACATTTACTTGAATAATGACTAATGGATAATGACCAATTGTCTTACATTGAGAAATAAAAATATATAGTCATATATTGAGATAGTCATTATATTTTAGTCCTATTTAGGTAAATTTTCCTTAATTATATTTACACAAGTTAAGTTGCACTACACTAGTGTGCTCTTCATATTTTTCTTCATCCAATCACAACGAACCCTCTAAATTTGTCAATGTTTCTATTGTATGTTAGCCTTAGGTTGAAAACGGAAAGTTTAGGAAGAGTGTTATGCTTTGATCGCAACTTGCTCCGTACCTGCACCAACCTTGCTCCGATCTTGCACGAAACACGCGCAGAGGAAATGACATACTCCGTAGTTACGTTCTTTATTCTTCTTCATCTTAATTACTAAATCACTAATCCTGCTTTTAATTACTTCAAACATGAAAATGAAGAACAAAAAATAGCGTAACGTCTGCCGTTAAAAATGAAGAAACACCACAAGAAGAAAAGTTGATGTCTGCCGAAAAAAAACAAAGAAATCAGAAAAATTTGTAACGTCTGCCGGAAAAGCACAAAGGAGCCGGGAAAAGGTGTAACTAACGGCCGCCGGAAATAAATGAAAAAGAAAACCAAAAAGGTGTTATCAGTGGCGGGAAAGATGAAAAAGAAGAAAATAAAATCCTCCGTCCTTCATAAGTTAAAAAAAACCCCCTCCATCTTAGCTAGCACACTGCACACACCATTTAGCTACCCTCACACGTCTCCCTTCTCTATAAATAATAGTGCAACCCCACTCACTCATACACTGCTTCTTCACCGGCCCCCAACGTGCCCTAAACCTCTCACTCCCCATCCCAAACAACAAAACCAACAATAATGTCACATAGAGACGTCTACAGCATAGAGACCGTCTTCCTCGAGATCAAGCGCAAGCAGCGCGCCGCATGCTCCAGCGTGTGTTCCCAGGAGGACATGCTGGAGATGATGGCCCTCCAGCAGAAGAAGGCCGCCTTCGAGAAGAAGTGGCGGGAGGCGATAGCCAACCCCAATGTCCGCCGCCCCACTGTGATGGAGCTCTTTGGGGGGCTTCATTACTCTGAACCTCTTCCTCCCTCTCCTCCTCCCCCCGTTGATCGTGCTGATCCTACCTCTTCCCCTCCGGCGACCTTCTCCGTTGGAGAGAGCTCCGGAGAAGTGCGTGACTCTCGCGAGGAGGGGAGGGACACAAATCACACTGGCCCGGTTGAAGTAAAATAAATTATTTTGTTCACGTTTCTTTTTCCTAGCTTTCTTTTCTCGCTTTACATTTTCTTTTTTGTTTTGTCCCTTGTGTTAATTATTTATTTCTTTTCTTTTTTCTAAAATAAAGTACGAAATATGTCGTCGAATATCTTGTTTCTTTCACATTTCACGCCCCATTTTTTACATTTTAAGGCCTTTTTAAAACTATGTGAAAACCTATTTATTCGTAACAAATTTTAACCGGTACATTTTTGCTTATTTAAATTTTTTCTTACTTTTTATGAAATATAGTATTTTGTATTTATGTATAAATATCGAAATTAATGATCAAAGTATTACATTGAACACCATGAATCTCAAATGAGAATATTAAATATGGATGGAAAGATTAATGTTATGAAGTGAAAAATAATTGTTTTTTTTTGGAATAGGGAACGTTGGAGGGGGTAATTAACAACCGCAGCGCTTGAAGAAGAGAGAGGGAAGCTAATTAAGGTGGCATTATCAAATAGATGGATGGTGCCTGCGTGTGGACTGATAATTAAATACTATGAATTGTATTTAATTAAGTGTTTACTTTATTTAGTAATGTTTTTATTAATTAAATATAAATATCATAATGTGTAACAACATGCAATGTATGGAAGACATGAATCGTGAACAAGTTTAACAATTAAGCTATTTCCTTTTCTGACTTGATTTATGATCTATATATAGTGAATATTGGTTCATGTGTTGGGTCGGAAATCGATCCCAACATTGTTTTAAAGGAGGGCTTGAGTATAAAATAGAGTCATGCTAGAGTACGTAATTATCTAAGGGTACAACTTTTTTACTTTTTTATTGTTTATCCATATAAAAATTTATGGGGTGAAAAAAGGTATAAGGTACAACTTGGGATAACCCAAATATTTTAAGGCTTAAACGTTTTAAGGATACATGTAATCTGACATTAAATATAACACATTTAAACTACTCTCTTTGTTACATAATAATACGAAGAATAAAATAATACGTATGCTATAAAATACTTCCTCCGTCCCAAAAAGTCTTTCCTATTTCATTTTTTGTGCATTCCATAAAACACTTCTACAGACATCTAAAATGTCTAAAATTTACAACATTTTTTTCTTATTGTGGGTAGAAGTTATTTTGAAAGTCTTTTTGGCATTCAAGGCGGGATAGAAGTGTTTTATGGGATGCGCAAAAAATGAAACAGGAAAGACTTTTTGAGACGAATGAAGTATGAAGTGAAAATCAATAAAAGTGTAACGTGCGGCAATTTGATAGCAAAATAATTTTTTTTGGGGGGGGGGGGGTTTGTTATTTCTATTAAACAATGAAATTAATTAAAATGTGTTGAGAAAGATGATTTTTTTCTCAAGAAAATATATTTCCTCAAACCAAATGAAGCCCTAATAATGTAAATATATCAAATTACGATGACAACCTCACACTCAAATTTGGTTAATCTTTGATTTTGTTCCGTGCAAGTGACGTGCCCATCCGTGGGCAACTACTCTTTTAATTAGTACTCCCTCCGTTTGAAAAAACCCTTCTTATTTGATTTGGGGACAAAAATAAAGAAGTGTTAAATTATAGTTGATTTCTAACTTTGCCCCTGATGTGAAGGGTAAAGTAAGATGTGATGGATAGATTATTAGAGAAAAAGTATGATGTGATAGGTAGGATAGGAAAAAGTAAGGGTAAAAGTGGTTTTTTAATAGAAAGGGAAAATGTTTTGTTGGAAGTGGAAAAAATGAAAGAGTAAGTATTTTTGAGAACGGAGGGAGTATCAACATTTCACATAATTTTTTGAATGTTATAAATTAACTGTAAAAACATGAACTCAAAATGTTTTCATTGAATAATTTTACAATAAATTAATCAAAATTCAATGCTAAATACAACAATTAAACGGTTGTCGCCTTACACAACGGTAACTGTTCGTTAGTTCACGTTTTTTTTATTTCATTCTTTTTTTTCTCACTTTTTCAGTTTTTTGAGTTAAAAACAAACTAGGGGCGAAACATTTTGGGCAAACTAAAACATAATGAATTTCTCAATATAGGACCATATGTTTTTATTTCTCAATGTAGAAACATTGATCATTATTCAACTAAATGTCTAGTATCACTTGGACATTTTCTTTATACTAATCATTATTAAGTCTTATTTAATGAATAAAAAAGTTTACATCCTACATTAAGGGATGACTTATGTTCTAGTCCCATTCAGTCCCATTCTTTAACGTATTTTTCATGCATACGTTATGCTCTTCTTCACATTTTGTTCGATTTTCTCTCGACGCTACATTTTCTTTTTACTCCCTCTCGTAGCAAATAGAGACACCCCGAAACGTTGAATGAACTGGGTGAACACGTGTCAAATACCACCTCCCCTTTTTCTTATCTTTAATTTTACCGAGTACTTTTTTTTTTTTTTGAAACAATTTTACCGAGTACTTAGTTAGGAGTGAAAAAAATATTGCCTTCAATTCATTCTAATTTATTTAAAAATTGTGTAAAAGTAATAAGTAATAAAAACATACATATTTAAAATTTACGGCAAAAATTCTTCTAAATATAAAGGAATAAAAATTCTCATAATTTTTGGCTAAAATCCACGATTGATCCTTCAACTTTATGAGTTGTGCATTATTGGTTCTTCAAATTTCAAAAGTGCATAAATAGTCCATCAAGTATTAATAACCTTCCACATGAAGTGCTTCAACTTTTAAAAGTTCATAAGTAGTCCTTCAAATATTCATCAATTTTCCAAATGCAGTCCTTTTTTTGGTACATGTTAAAAGGTAAAAGGATTACTACTTGCATATATATAATATGAATATGATGTACCTATGCGTAGGTGATTGTTTTTTACGTATAGAGAATTAATGAATTTCCACAATTCCAATCAAAGTTTTTTGTTCTTTACTATACAAATTTAACCCCTTTGAAAGTAAAATTAATTATCCCCAACACTTATAATGGGAGGAAAAGACCCACTGCGCTGCGCTGCTCAGAAGACGGGGCCTGGGCACCCATTACAGGTCGAAAGTTACATTTGGCACTGAGGAGAAACTTATATATATGGAGCCAGAGGCAGACCCACCTTGAGTCCTATGGGGTCACGGGACCCCACGGACCCCGGGGTAGGTCTGTATAGGTATTAGGTATGCATAGGTATTAATATATACAAACACTTGTCATATACTCCCTCCGTCCCAAAAAGATTGGTACATATTGACTTTTTGGGAAATTAATGGATGGATATTTTGGTGTTGACTTTCCAAAAATACCTTTGATGTGATGGGTAAAAGTAGGATGTGATGAGTAGATTATTAGAAAAAAGTTATGATGTGATAGGTAGGGTATGAAAAAGTAAGTGGTAAAAGTGGTTTTTTAATAGAAATGTAACGGACTTTACGGGACGCAGTTTTTTCGAAACGTGTCGGACTTTTTGGGACGGAGGGAGTATTAAATGGATTAAGCTATGTGTACCCCAACATTTATATCCCAATTTGTACCCCGCATATTTGCACTAACATTTTGTGTTGGTGAAAAACTGATTTTTGTTAACGCACCAACATTTGTGTCCGAGTAAATTTTTATTAACGCACCAACACTTATGTCGGTGTAAACCATCAAAATGTTTGTGCAAAACTGTGGTGTACAAGTGGAGTATATTTTTTGGTGTAAGTGTAGCATGGTCCATAATAAATAGAAGCATGTTTGGTTCAGCGGAAGAGTGTGCTGATGCGCCTAACCCCTGCTCCCCTGGACGGAGGTTCGACTCTCAGTCCGTGATTTTGGAGCCAATTTTTTTCTTTTTTGGAGTCAATTTTTTTTGTAATTAGCATCAAAACGACATCGTTTTCCCTCCCGCTTTTCTCTGTAAATTTTTCCTCTCTTCCCCAGTTCCCCAATTCTTTATTTTACACTTTTAATTTTGATTTTAGAACCCTAACAGCTTCAATTCTGCCATTCTGACTTTTGCGAGACTGCGATCGCCGACCAGCCGCCACCCTCCAGGCTGCCAGCGATGGGCGACATGCGTCATCTTTTTCTTGTCGGCAGCACTTCAGGCAGTCACTCTCCAGACTTCGTCACTCCAGTCAACAACTCAACGGTAACAAGTAAGGTAAAAACTTTTCTGTATTTTACTAAAATTATTTTTTTATTTTTTATGGTAGTTTGAACTTTGAAGTTTGATATATGAATATATGATTAGTATTTAGTAATATACTTCATCCGTCCCTAAATAAAGTTTCATTTTTGACTTTTTGAGGATTTAAGGGAGGAATATTTTGGTGTTGACTTTCCAAAAATACCCTTGATGTGATGTGTTAAAGTAAGATGTGATATGTAGATTATTAGTAAAAAGGTATGATGTGATAGGTAGGGTATGAAAAAGTAAGGGGTAAAAGGGGTTTTTTAAGGGAAAAGAGAAGTTTATTTAGGGACAAAGAAAAAACGAAAGAGGAACTTTATTTAGGGACGGAAGGAGTATAATAATTTATACATTAAAGAATCAAAGATTTTTCTTCAATAAAAAAATTGATTTAGGATTGCAAGTGATAATTATTATTGTATTAATGTTCATTTTATGTCTAATTTACACAATTTAAAATGCAAAGGTACTTCAAAAAGCTAGCCAAATTCAAAGATTTGGAGTCGAGTGGAATTGGTATGACTTTATTTATATGTATTCAAAAAGCTAGCCAAATTCAAATTCAAATTACGTTATTGTTTTTGTATGACTTTATTTATATGTATTAGTTATGATACTCTTCAAATTTACTTTTAATTTATTATTAAATATTAAGACTTATGAAGTAGTTTGACATGAGAATGGGAGGTAGCCGGGTAGGGGACCCCATGGCCGTAAAATCCTAGATCCGCCTCTGTAATGGATCTAGCTGCATCTGGCAGGTCGGAAGTTATATATTTGGAGCTAATATTTCATTTAGCTTTTAGTGTGTACGGTAAAAAGGACTACATTTGGAGGGTTGATGAATACTTGAACAACTATTTATGGACTTTTGAAATTTGAAAGACTAGATTTGAAGGTTGTTGAATACTTGAAGGACTAATTATGAACTTTTGAAATTTGAAGGACCAATCGTGCACAACTCACAAAGTTGAAAGAAGCATAAATTTTTAAATAGTTAACAATTGCATTTTTTTGAGACGGAGGGAGTTTCAGTTATCGCTGAAACTTGTTGCCACGAGAACCATCCATTTGCTTGCACCACAGACGTGCTCTTCGTCTTTTCTTCATGGAATCTGCATCTCTCTTTTGCTTTTCTAAACTTTATTTTCGCCTGCACATTAAGGTCATGCATGACCTTTCGACAAAAAATTAAACACTTTTGTGCACACAAGTTTAAAAAATTAAGTACCCCTTTAAATATGAGATGTTTTGATTTTGAAGAAATTTAAGAAGAGTGTATTTTGGTATTAAATTTTCAAAAATGTCTTTTGATGTAATAAATAAAAGTAGGATTTGATGGTAGATTATTAGTAAAAATGTATGATGTGATATGTAGGGTTTGAAAAAGTAAGAGCATCTCCAATCACGTTTGCTAAACATGGCTTGCTAAAGTTATTTGTTAACATGTGAATAGTGGTATAGCAAGTCATTTTACATGATCATCTCCAACCTTTGCTTGTTATAATCTAGCAAAAA